GAAACGTTTTCATAAAATACTGTAATTAGACAAATATTGATCGGCAAGATCTATTCCCTTCATGTGTTTATTGTACTGTAATATGCACGTAGGCTTAATTGTATTCCGCCAGGTCTTATAACCGAGAGAAACAGCTTGAGGTTTGCTGACCAACAATTGTATACTGTGTGATCTCCAAAAACGCACTGAAAAAACAACGGTGACGAGGGAGAAAAAAAACGCACGTCACGAGTTTATTCGTAGCAGGTGGCAACGTTTTGCTATGAAAACACGAGTTAACTCGTGACCGGTCAACAATACGTTAAGAATATTGATCAGAAAGATCTTTAATTGTCTTGAAAATGCTCTTTTTAACTTGACAAAAATTTGCTAGTTCTTATTTTTCCAAACCATAGAAACAAAAAGCATAATTATTTGTGTTCCCATTAGGTCATGAAAGCTAGATCATGCTTTTAGAAATCTACAACTTTTGAAGAGCACTAAGTATACATATCTACATAAGAAAATGCATACAAGGTTATTGTGCATTCCATTCTTTTGTATGGTTACGAATGCTGGAGCTTCAGGAAATTAGTATAAGAAAGACTAGAAACATTTCAAAATAAATGTCTAAAAATAATACCAAAAATCCTTTGACCCAATATAATATCATACAAATAAGGAAGAAATTAAAAAAAACAAAGACGGAAAGGGCTCGGCCATATGCAAAGAGCAAAAAGATCCAATCTTGCAAATGTTTAAAGTAGATGGTCACATGATGAGAAAAGAAAAAGAGGAAGATTAAGACAGGCGAGGTAAAGCTACATAGAGGAAGATCATTGCAAAAGAGGATTGACAGGATGTGAGGAAGCATCATGTGTTAATTGACCAAAGATAGAAATCCTAGGGGAGGGGAAGACTCAATGTTTGGCAATCGACTCAAGAAGAAATCGTGAAATTATTCATTTCAAAACAAAACACACCTGTTCATCGTGGTAATATAAGAGTTTTAACTTAATCTATAATCATGAAAAAATAATTTTTTAAATAACTTGAGCGGCAGTTGATATAAGAAAATATCTACTAGAGTAAAGTGTGATTTCGCTATCACCCTTTTCATGACAACACTTCCCTTATCAGTGCAATATTAAGAAGAACCTTGTGCGAAGGAATTAAAGAACAGATATTTCTAAAAATTTCCATCAATGGAACAAAAATAAAAAGGAAATTTTCTTGATTATGTAAGTTTTCTGCTGCTAAAGAGTAAACAAAATTAAAAGGATATCGTGCGAGAATAATGCAAAATTCGCTTAAATATTTAAGGTGATACCAAAAACTTGACTGAAGCAGTAAAGTATTCAAAATTAGATAATTAATCAAAGCATAAAGTTTTTTTTCCACTTCAACATTTCCCGTTTTCCCCTTCTTTATCACAAACAATTTGTTACTATTTAGAAACGTTTCTTTTAATGATATTTGTGAAGAAAGTGTCATATTTATTTTGTGTTCACTGCTTATAGTGCCACCTGAATACTTTCAATCTCTCTAATTACAAAGAAGTTCGCATTTAATAATAGACGTGATAAAAATAAGAAGAGTCAAGAAAGACGAATAGTGAAGATAATACAAGAATAATACTATAAGAGAAATATGAGAGCAAAGAGTAACCGGTAGAGCCTGTGAAGTATTGTAAAATGTATAAATAATGTAACGTAAAGAGTGATAAAAATATGAGAGAGACCCTATGAATAACGCATAATAGTCCTATGAATGATACGGGTAAAATATGATAGGAGTGCTATAAAAGCAGAGGGTAATAAGAATGTAGTATGATATAAAAAGCTAAACATCAAATGATAAGAGGCTGTTGACGTCATAAGAGTAATACAAGATCTAAGATAAATGTTTTAAGTGTTAAATAAAATTGACTTGAATATAGTAATTTTTTATAATAATCGAAAATAATCTATTTCTGGTACCCAACTAATGTTTGGAAGAAAAAAAAAGCTGTCCGTCATATCGGCACAAGACGAAAAAAAAAAAAGAAAAAAAGATCTCCTTATTTTTGTAATGAAATGAGGTGAAAATGTAAATAAAATGAATTGTAGAATTAGCAATGAACGATGACTTACTGAGAGCAAAAGAAAATACTCGTGCATCTGATTTTCTTTTCAGTTTTTAGTCAATGGAAAGTGTGAAAATTGCAGTGAAACAGATATTATCAAAATACAGTACTTCTTTTTAATTATTTTAAAAAATTTGTCTTGCTCGCTCCATTTTTCAACTCCCATAATTTATTCTCATTTATCATTGTTCATTTCTTCTTAAACGTAAATATTTCTATCCAAAACACTGAAAATTACGATTTTAAATATTTTTTTTTTTTAGATTTGTGTAAGAATATTTCGTTAATGTGTTAATTGTAATGCAATGAACTATGACCTAGATTTTAAAACTAATTATCTGTACTTGAATAAAAAAAATCAATTGAAGGAATACACATTGTGGAAATAACGAAAATAAATGCGAAGACTTAGAGCAATTCAAATAGAAAACGGTTTTCCTCGCTATTTATTAAGTTTACTTCTCTATGAATGTTAAGATTGATATCTACTCGAATGCGAGCTTATGAGATAAAAATATTATGATCTCGTAAGGGAAAAATATTTTTTCTGCAACAATAGATAAATAATCAATGCTTAAAATAAAAATAAAAAATTTTAAAAATTCACGAAAAAGTACTTATAATCGGAATAAATAGAATTTCTAAAAACAAAAATCTCCCGTTAAAAATAATTCAAAATGATCTTATCAGCACCTCGAATTTCAGCTCTGTTGCATTTCAGCAGACAATGGAACAACCAACATGTTTTTGTTTTCTAATCACAAGATTAATTGGAAAGTTAAATGGAATTTTTTTTATTCCATCATAATCCCTTTTTCCCACTCCCCTTCGTACTTTCAAGTTTTTAAGTTTTATAGGTTTTGAGCAACAAAAAAAAAAAAAATGTGTGAGAAATAACTCGGAAAGAAGCACTTAGAATGGCAAAACATTCAAACAAATTGAAATTTCGTAAGAAAGAAAAAAAAAAAACTTTAAATTCAGTTCATAAGCAAACATTCTATTTCAGCAGGGCCAAATTTCTAGTCTGCAGTTGCATTCTTGCGGCCTGCAGAGTGGCTTATATGCTTATTTCTCAACAATTTTTACAGAGAGCTAAATTTTTTTTAATTCCATCATAATCCCTTTTTTTACACGCCTTAGTCTTGATGTCTGATATAGGGTGAAATTAACGATTTAAACAGGATAGAAGACATCGTATCTGCATCATTATTCACAAAGTCACCTTACAAAACACGTGCTTCTCGTATTCATATTATAATGTCATCAATTACAAATATTTTAGATTTATTTGAAATGAATACATTTTGTTTCTTGATTAACATAAAATTAACATAAATGTTATTTGATATCATTTTTTCAATAACAAAATTTAGGGTTTGAGTAAACCCATTTTATTTGTTAAAAACGTTATTTAAATACTTAATGGTGAGGTCGGGAAAATGTTTCTTGTAAAAATGAATCCTGGGCTGTTTACGCATTTTGATTGCATTCATAATACAGTTCAGAATTTTAAGTTTTTAAGGAAACGTTGCGGTTATTGATTTCTAACAAAATTACCTGCTAGCAGTTACACTGAAATGCTATACACTGAAATGCTTCTGTCTGCAGACAAATGAAGGCTACTTAAATTATTTGCTCTGGTGACTGTTATTTATTAGAGATCGGCATAAAACTTGATAGTGAATAAGATAACTAACAAAAAAAAGTTAGGTCTTTATAATGGAAAGACAAATTCTCCTTAATTGCCATTTTAGAACAGTTTTTAATTCATCGTTTTTAACAATAACTATGAATGAATATGCTTATTACTTAATGAGTTTTATCTAACAACTAACTCCAGGGGTCTAGTATAAATATGTAAACGAGCACACATAAATATGCCGCGAGTTTAAGAGTATTAGTGAATTTAAGTTAATCCTAGCATGGGTTGTTTTTCTTTTTTTTTAGTTCAAAAATACCAATAAAAAGTATGGTTAGGTCGCAAATCTCATACAACGTATTTCTTTAACAAAATTATGTTACGTGGTGGTTACAAATGTAATAAATGATCGAAGTTTATTGCATTTTGGTTGCTACCACTGTTAAATGTTTCTTAGTACCGGAGCCCTGATACAAAATTAACATAATTATGTGGAAGATTTATCTTGTTAAAATTGTATATTTGTTGTGAAGGCCGAATCATAATTAATCAAATTCAATATAAAAACAAATAAAAAAGTTGAACGTTTGTTACCACATTAAAATATTTAAGGCGAATCTCTCGTTAAAGCAGGAAAGTATGAGTTTATTATTCATTAGGCTTTAACATAAATTATTGTAAATATTGTAAAAAAAATTTAATCAACAAAATTCTCTTAGGCTGAAATTGGATCCATTTTCAATTTACTTCACAAAGTAGAGAAGATTAGGTAAGCATAGAATAAATAATTAGTATTAAGATATATCGAAACTAGCTCATTGGCATAAGGCTAGCCTTGAAAAAAAAACACTTTTATTTTAAAAGGAAAAAAATTATTATTATTTTCTAAATGCACATCAAAATTTACTTATTTGATCCAAAAGGAGGATAGAGTATACTTAATGCTACTTAGACTAAAGCAAAAAACAACATCATTAAAGCACCAAAAAAAAGGAGCATAAAAGAAACTGTCATTTGGTATTAAACACCGAGGAAAGCATTCAACAGAACGTGTCCATTTCTGTCCTTTTATTTAGGCTTTATGACGCTGTTTTTTGTTCTGAAAATAAAGATAAAAAAATTTGCAAAGTGTATTCAAAATCATGATGAGTAAGCATTTTTTGTGTCTAGTTTATAATAATTGTTTATGCTAGTCATCCTCATCGGTTTGCGTTTAGATTTGAGTTTGCCACTGGGAATAAAGAATCTTTAACTTACTCGATAGTCCGCAGACACTTGAGTAGGTATGGGTGCGAGGGGTCCGACGGCCCCCGTGGACGACACGGCAACTTGTGATCTCTGATGATACGGAAAATACGGCGAGTACGGCTGATACATGACATCCGCGCAACTCATGGTGCACCCTTTCGATGCATGCAGAATCTTTCACAGAACAAAAAATTCAAACGACACAAATTTTCTATATTCGAGTACACCACAGGATCCGGAAACTTCTTGCACCTTAAACTTCTGTTTTTGGTTTGGATGGGAGTCATTTTTGGGTGACGACGGCCCCCCGGATCCCGCAGAATGGAGGAATGGGTTACCAGAAAACTTTTCGCCACCACTCTCGCCAAAGTTGGAAAACTATCGCCATCGTTTTTCCGTCACTTGAGCAGAACTTGACAGATGAATTGGAATCCAATGAATGTATCACAGTGTGTCACACATTTTTGAGGAAAGGACAGACATTTTTCGCATAATTTTGTGACGCAAATTATTCAACGATTAGTAGTTGCGTTTCAACTCTTTAGATGCTTTGTTTCGTAAATATGTTTTTTTTCAATAAAAAAGGTATCTCAATTTCCACCCTACGATCGAACAAAATAAATAGATTCAACATTATTGTTGTATAATTGTTGATTTATATTTAATACACAGAAAATTCGATCAAAATAATTAAAACTATTAAAGAGAAATGCTCCAATTTAAAAGAAAAAATCGCAATTAATTATTGAGTCCAATCTTCTGTGCGGTATTAAGGCTATAGAATCGGAGAAATTTTGCACGAGTTGGAGTCAGTAAAATGGGCAAATTTTTTCGACTCCGACTTCTGTTACTTAAAAATTTGTTCTCATCGGTTAGAAGAAACAAATCTGTTGGTCTTAAGAAATTTATTCAAATTTGGTATGGAAACAAAATATTATTCAAATGAATAGTATGATAATTAATACCTACTTCAAATCTAATTCATCCGATTTGAATGTTTTTGAGCCTATGTTTGATTAAATTAATAAATAAATAAAATATAAAACCTTATTTATTTAGTTCATTTGAAAAGTTAATTAAAGAGCTATGCAAGCCTATGCAGCATATTTGTAACAGTTTCCTAGTACCAGAATTTCTTGCAAAAAATTTTCGCGTATCTTAACATAAAAAGTGGCGGCAACTGCTTCACACCAATGAAATGCTCCATTACACCAAGAATATTCCTTTTTCACTACTTGGGGTATAATTTTTTTCCTTCTTTTTTATATTTAATAACACTAATATTTATAATTACAGTAAAACATGGTACACATAAGAGACATTAAAGCTATTTTTATGTTACGATATGAAGTAAGAAACATTAATTTCGAAAGCATATATAGATTAATTCCTAAAATAAAATTAATTTCTAAGTCAAATATGCACAGAGAGAATACAAAGATGTTTTAATAGAAGGGGATAGAAAATATGGATGATGCAGTTCAGAGAGATTTAATAATTATCCCTATTACACAATTAAAAACATATTTTTGTGGCTACCTTTTGTTTTGATCAGTGCGTAACAGCGTCGAAAACTTTTACTGTTTCTCCCCAACTTGAATTCAAATGTAAATATGTAAACAATCTACAGATGATATTCAAAGCTAGCCAATATCGGTGTTTTCGCAAAATAATTCTCCTAATCAGTTATATATGACTAACGATTATACTTCAAACTATATGATTGAAAGTGATGTTTTTACGAATAGCGCGCTTCTCGTCTATGTTTTTAGAAGTCTCAAAAATGAAATCAGTAGAAGATTTGTACATGAAGATAGCTTTATTAACATTTAAGAAAAGTAAAATGACGTGGGCTTAAAACAAATTTCAAAAAAATGTATCGGATAAAACGCAGAATCACTGGTTTTTGTGCTTTAGAATAATTCTTAGGCCGCCTCTATTACGATACAGCACAGTTTTTTTGTAACGTTTGTCATTTACTTAAGAATTTGCGAATGTTGTGTAAGTTCTTAAGATTTCAATGTTTTCAAACTTCATAGCATATTAATTCTTAAAACCTCTCTTAAGATGATAAATTACTTTGTAACTTATTCAAGCAAAGTCTCTTTTTAAGATTGTAAATAGAAACAGATTTATGATCTGAAAAATATGATATTTTATGAAGACGTGTCGCGTCATGGCCGTCTTTGCAATGTATGCATTTAGAGGTTTAGCCAAAAAGATTTAAATGCATATTAGGAGTCGAACATTAATTTGTAAACCACAATTCAAGAAGTGGACAACATTTAAAACTGTTTGATGACTGAAGGTGAAAAACGTGAAGGGTGAGAAATGGTGAAAAACGATTATAAGAAACCACTTTGAAATTTAATCCGTCAAGCAAACTTGTTTTGATGTTTTTAACTTCACCTTTATTCACAGTTATTCGTCTGATTTTAATAACGTTTTTGCTTTTTCGTTGTTCCCTTATTTAAATGTGTGACCCCTAACAATTTTGATTTCATTTTTGAAAAGGTACCTAACAATGTAAATTAAGAGCAGTTGCTACCTAATACTCTATATTTTTCTTCAACTTATGTGTAGATTCTTAAGATCAGTTTAAATATGGAGTAAGCCTCCATAGAGAAAATTAATTTAGTAACCCTTCACTAAGAAATTTTCGTAAAATTCTGACAGTTGGCCGTTGATTTATACAGCCAGATGAAGTGTTGACAGTTTTTTTTATACGCCTAGCTTCAGTGTTTGTCATTTATTCAGACGGAATTCTTTGAGATAAAAGTTGAGTGCCAGTAACTGTCACGAACTTGAGCGAAGCAGCCAGCTTATTGCAGCTTCCTAACTCTGTTCGGGTGCATCAGTCTGCGAACAGAACGACGGCATCTAAGAACCTCTCCATGGGTGACCATGACAACGAAAGCGTAATTCTCTCACTCCTCGACACATAGCAATACTGCACTCGTTCCACAGTTTACCGTACTACGAAAAACACATCATCCGAGTCTTAAGCAACTTTTACCGATCATTGATACTAATCTAACGGCGACATTTTGAACAGTGTTGGTACTTAGAAAATCACTGGATTACAAAATCAGTGCTTTTTAAGATCAGAGTCAAAACAGGCTTTAATGAAATCATAATTGCCTTCTTATAAAATCTAGTGTTTTTCGGAGATTTTTTTTTAAAAAAAGGTGTCTGACTTTATATTCAGTGCTTATCCGTTTCAGGAGACCATTGAAAAAAATACTTTTTTTTCCAACGGATTCGGATTTCTGACCCCCAAATTATGGGGGTCAGCCACAATCTGGGAAATATAGCTTCAATAGTATGGCCAGGAGAGCGTGTCAGCTTTATTTTTTGCGTTTTTTTACCGTATTTGGGGAACTTTTTAAGAAAAGTGAAACATTTTTGCACATAACAATAAAATTTGCTAAACCAAAGCAAAGTTTATGAATGTAAAAAATAAATTTTAGTAAATATTTGGTGTTTTTTATTATTTTATTTAATAATAGTCCGAAAAATTTTAAATTATAAGGTATATAATTTTCAACATAATTTTAAAGCATTTAATTTCATACAGCAGAAGAGATTTTACGTGGCAAAAGAGACATATTTCCATCCTGAGAAATTGAATTTGATATAAACGACTTTTTCGAAATTTGATTTCTCAGAAACTATTCAACCGATTTCATTCAAATTTTGTATTTTGCCATGTAAAATTGAATAGTCTAAAATGATGTAAAAGAATTATACCCAGCAATTCAAACTTTTCTTGACTATTAATAAATAAAATAATAAAAATTTACTTAAATTTAATTTCGGGATGGAATTATCTTTGGGCAAATTTTTGGCCTTAAAAACTTTGGGTCCATTTGTGTAAAAAATTTACTGACTCCAATTTGCTCTATGTGTTTGGCAAAGCGTCAACATTCGTATTTTCGAAAGAGAGTATTTAATGTGTGGTGGAAGAGGGCGTAAGATTGGTGTAAACTTTTCCCATCATAAAAGTTTGAAAATTTATTGACACCCTTTAAAAGGGTTCATTCATAAAATATTTTAGATTCTTCAATATCAGATTTTTTCGAGATAAGACAGACGAATTATCTCTGGTGTTAATAAGACACATTGAAAAGGAATTCAAATGCACTGAAAAATAAATAGAGAGGAATGTCTCACTATAAATAATATAGCTAAAAGATAGTTATTTTATCAAACAATAAAAAGTGGGATCGATGAACGATGTTCAACCCTTTCGAGTTCTAATTTCGATTCAGCTTTTAACAATTCATTTTGAGAAGAATTTGTGAACTTGCATAAACGGCAAGAGAGTGCCTGATAAATTGGAAAGTAATCAACATTGCCAAGTAATATGGACACATATTCTTACAAACTTTCAAATGAATATTTTATTTCGCAGTTTTCTAATCAAATAAGCGTCTTTAAATTAAAAACTGTTTTTGATGAATTAAGAAAATGTAAATTAAGACAGTTTAACTAAAATATTAATCTAGTAAGTCCTTTGATTTTTAGGGTAGATTAAATTCGAAATTTTGTCTTTCTTCGTAAGCCAGATATTAACATCAGCTCGTTTTTTAAGCGAAATGTTTTTCCAAAGAAGCCAGTCAATGGATTCTAATGAGCATGAAAATACATGTTGCCTGTATGCGAACAAACAAAAAAAGAATGAACAAATAAATATAACTATAAGATTGAAAAAGTAAATCAGAAATGTGGCTATATGCACCGTAAATAGTTTTAATTCACCTCAACACCAAAAATGATGGCAACTACTTTACAATTGTTCTACTACACCACTATCCTAGGATAGTTCCAGGTACTATGAAACACCTAGAATGTTCCTTTAAACAACTTGGCGTATCCCCCAACAGCCATGTTTGTTATTTATTATCTCTAAAATTTTACAGAAATTGCAGTAAAATAAGATGCGCATAAGAATCAGTGAAGTTTTTTTTCTGTTGCATAACAGTATAATGTAAAAATCAGCAATTCAGATTGCCATACATACACTCATTCTAATTCTTAAAATACAAGGAGTTTGTATATCGAACATACGCGCAGCAAAGAGAATATTAAGACCAATTCGAAATAGACTTAATGGAGCGGAAGCGGTTAGAAAATATGCATTATAAAATTATTTAATGCATTTTACAAAAACTTGAAAATTTTAAAATGTAAATGTCGTGATGACACAACTAATAACATATAAACAGTAGATGGAAAGCAGCATTGGTCGCAAACACTCGTCAACTTATTATAGAAATAAAAACGCTCCAACATCGGGAGATCTCCA